GTCCAATGGATGATGATCTGATTAGTCGACTAATCGCAAAAATAATCGGTGACTAGTCGACTATCAAAATAATCCTTTGTGGCAGCCCTAGTTATTAATAATCATTTTTGGAATATTTCACTTACTTTTACTCGACAGGTTCAAGTACCTGCCAAACCGTTAAAGTTGTTGAGGTACGGTGACCTGACATGTAGTTACTTTTTTGGGAAAAAGGTTACAGAAAATGGGAAAATGGAGTACTGGTTATTGTATGAGTAATAACACAGACGTGACGCAGAAGTGTGATTGACATGTTTTCAAATGCCCCATCGTAAAATGTCAAAATTTCCCAAAGAATTAAGAGCATTCCCAGTAAAGCAAAGGGTTTCTCAATCCCATTGGCCTCTCTGTGCAGACTGCACAATTTCCTGTTTATGCACCTTCACAAGATGCACCCCTCTCTAAAATATTAATGTTAATTAATTAGCCAAGCCAATTACCCATGAACTGTGACCCTATGAACCTACACAAATCACGACTTTCATGGACAACTGCTGTTCCAGGTCAACAAAAGTAAAGCTCATCTTAACCAGAAATGAACCTACCTGTGGAGGATAGTTGCTCTCAGAAGACCACCTGGAGGACTGATCGTTAGGTTTATCCACCAAGATATTCCTAAACAAAATAAAGAGACAAGTATTTACCCACTGTGGAATACCATCCCACCAAGTGAGCAGAAAACGCGGAAAGACAGCAGTGCAAGGTTGTGTGTCCTGGAAGCTTATGACGGTAGATTTATCACATAACAAAACTACTTTCTTGTAGTCACGCTACATTCTGTTAGAAAGCTCATTTAGGTAACTGTTGTTGTTAGCCAACTAGCATCAAGTCAGCTACTGCTGAACTGTTTACTGAGTGCTGAACCAGCAACAGGCGAAAGCCGCGAAACTATGGGTGACTTCGTTTATATTAGATTATAACGTGGGTGCTGGCGTGAGCGATAAGTTTTCCTTTCGTTGCAACAGTTTCAGATAGCCAAGCTCATTAGCATAGCTGCTAAAGCAAAGCTCTGTGGTTAGATAACAACAGCTAGTTGCCTACTTCAGCTCTGGAGTCCAGTTAGCTAACGTGGACGTTCGTTTTTCACGTATTAAGATACCGAAGTGTACACTACGTAATCAAAGCGTAAAATATTATACAGCCGTGACAACGGAAGTAACAAAGAATAATCTGGGCGTGTTCCAATACCAAGTTTTCGGGGTTGTCACTCTAGAATAATATAACTATAAGAGAAGAATACACCAGTCAGTTGCTTTGTTTACGTTTTGAGATAACGCTCCAATTGACATCCTACACTGAAGTGGGAAACTGTCCCTTAGTTACCCACACATTTCACAGAAATTACTGAGCGTCATTTCATCACACAGAAAGTACATCGTAAGCTATTGCTTCCAACAAACGTTTAGCGGAAAAACAACGTTATCATTATCGGGCGGCTAAATATCCGAAACCAAACGCCCCACACGGCAGCTAGCGCTAGCTTGCTTGACTCGCAGACAAGCTAGGCCAGTCGCGCAGGGTGGAAGAAACACAAGTGCGCCGAGATGACAAAAGACCACCTTCCACCGCAAAACCTAATGCATACGCTGGGCCAGAGGATGGGAAAGATACTCACTCAGGTAAATATGTAGACGAGTAAGAGCTCCATTTAAAAACGCTGAAAGTGAGGACTCTGCTCTCGGGAGCGACAGCCATCTTGTTGCAGAAAATAACAGACAGCGAGAGGTTAGCAAGGAGCGAATATTGACAGCTCTTAAAGAGACAGCACACACATTTGTATTGTTTACGAAGCCTCCTCGGTAGCATGAACACACTGCACGATACAGTTATCACGTCAGCTCTTCATATTCATCGCAACAAAACTCGTATTTAAAAAATTATCATTTTTTTCCAAATATCATTTCAGCCGAAACATGTTAATTTCAATCGATAAAACAGAAAAAGCGAATGATAATAAAATAATAACAATACATCCATCACATTAATGTGCTTTGAGGCCACAGGCCCAAAAATGATCTTCTACAGCCCCGGTACTCCCAATCTCTCGTCAGCATGTTCCTAAATATGTACATCAGCCCTAATTACACAGCTGCACACACACAGCTACTGGAAGTGTTAACCAAAACTCTTTAAACCTGATGCATAAGTAGGAGTTTCAAATGAATACATACATATAAATAGAATAACGACTCCCACAGAAATAATAAGCCGATCATACAGTATCATACAGTTGACTGCAGTGTTTCCTTTTTGAGACAAAGACAGCAGTGTCCCTTTTCAAACAGCAGATAGTGTTTTACTATATGTGAAGTCATTCTAGCTCAGAGAGTGGGTGAGTCATCTGGTGACTAATGCGCTTTATTCCGGTTAGACAAAGCGTACTCAGCCTCAATTTACAGCAAACACTTTGAAAGAAGATGACTCGACGTATTTTCATCTTGTCATTAAGCCAGTATGTAGTTGATCGTGTAAATTACCTCCACGAATTAACATACAACTGGTCACAGCTGCCATAACGTCAAACACTGGTTTTCTTGACTGGTTATGTTGGATCACCACAAGCTGTGCTCTGCTGCAACTGGACATTTTACTGTCAGTTGACTGAAGACACACTGCGCACTCAGCTCAGTTCTGTAACCGGATGCTTGTTTTAACAGATATCTGTGCGAGCAACACTTTGTAAAAATGTGAGATCAAAGTGATACCATCATAATACTCGCTTTGTACCAACTAACACTCCAGATCTATGAATGGTCAAATAGTTTGGGCTGGTTCGCTCTGCCCAAAGATTTTAATGATGAAGGCCAGACCCCGAGAAGCGCTGGTCACCTGATGAAGCTGTTTCCTCTTCCTTTAAGAGTCTTCAGTCATCAGATGTTTGTCTCCATGCACCTTGGAAGTAGGTGAAGTTGTGCCAGAATAATTTGCTGCTATCAAAAATTTTTTAAAGCAAACTCTCAGGCCTGACAGTGACACGGTGCATGGGACTGTGCAGACAGAGTGCTCTTCTGCTCTCGCTGAACGTTGAACAGCACTTTGCACTACCAGCCACATCCATCCATGGACACAGAAGCTTCTCTAACAGTTACACACATACTGGGACACTTCATCGGGGATAACAGTATCTTGCCAAGGGCACTTTCAAGACATGGGCTGGAGAATGTCGGGATTGAACCAGTGACCTTCAAACCAGTTGCTGACCTGTTCCAGCTCCTGCCTATGTAGAAGGAAAGCTGTAGCATTCATATGTGCCTCATTCGGCACATGGTTCTGTAGCAAACAGTCGGTGCAGTGAGTCCTCTCGCCTCTGGCAGCCTGGCTAACCCTTCAGTGGATTAACCAACCCTGCATATATCAGTCAGCTGTGTCCTCTTCCCCCTTTGTTCCCCATTCACTCCACACGTTGTCTTATTGTCCATATTAGTTTGACTTGATATTCAGCTGTCGCAGCATTAACTTCCTGTCATGCAGTTCAAGTGTTTTCAGTCTATTTTCTTTCTTATAAAAGAAATCGAAGCTCATTTCCAGAGCGACAGTTAAACGGTGACTAAAACAATCAATACAAATTGTTGCGATGATGTTATTGTCTTGATGCGGCCGTGTGACGGGCAGGATGTGAGACCCAAACGCAAAACACTCAGAGGAATAAACTAAAAGAGGCTGCTTCAGCGCAGCAGCATCATTTTACAAAACCACAACTAGAAACGAATAACAAAGACACCGGGAAACCTGGAAACTTGGGACGGCGATCTCAGGGAAGCATGGAAGGAGAAGCACACAGCGTGGAGCGAGGACCAAACACAGGGCGGAAATACTCTGAGGATAAGCAGGGAACGGGCAGCTGGGAGGAATCACACATGAGACAAAACTATACACACGACATAAGACAGGAAGAAGAACACAGAGACTTGATCTGAACACAGGGAACACGAATGACCGGGGAGCGAGATTAATATTAATGATGATGATGATGATGATGAAAATAAAACACTGGGTCACTGACCGTAACAGTTACATGATGTATTTGAAATAAAACGTTTTAAATAAGTTCATAAAAGTGAAAATTAAAGCTTTGCTTCAACAGCTGATTACATGTGGCGGCGTCTTTCATGCTTCATCTTAGATTGGTTACTTAAAATAAACGAACCAACGATTGTGAGTTTCGTCCTGATAGTTTAAAGTTAGCAGTGTGCACACGGCGATGGACGTCCTGCTGGCCTCGCAGTGCGCTGTGGCTTCGCTGCATGAAAGCATCCACGTTTCTGACGCCGTGTCACTCGTTCAGACGAGCGCAGAGGGGGAGCCGAGACGTGTCTTTTGTTGCTGAGAGTTGTAATCCACTCTAATTCAAACCACAGGGGGTCTGTGAGCCTCAGAGACCCTCAGACTTCTGGTATTTTCACACGGCCCCAACTGCCGCCAAGTCCCTCCATCACACATCACACATAGACTTCAAAGAGCCGTATGCACTGAGCCTAATCTACTGTACTCGCTAACCTTGTGGCAGCTGCGATACCGTCATCAACCTGTGTTTATAATTTAGTCCAATACTCAACAACACCACGGAGCATCTGATACGCGGGTGAAGTTCTAGACTCTCATTGTTGTCCTTAGTGTTCACCCATCCACTGACAGCTATCCAGAGTCCAACATTACAGAAGGCAGAGACAACAGGTCACACGCACCGAAGATGAGCAGCGAACAGGAGATAATAGAGCTAACAACAGTTTTAGTTTTCCTGAAGTCAGTGTAAGGCAGTGAGTTCTACATTATTGGTTTCTATAGCAATTGAATTAAATCAAACTCTGCAAAAACATGCTTCAAAGACATAAAGATGTGCTAAATGAAGCCCACGGCTACCCAGCACGGCCCAGTCTGTCTTTGGAATATTTTCTCAAATCTCAGCAAACGTGTTAGTGTTTGATGACTCGTCCACGAGTGGACTCCATCCAGGTTTGATGATGGTGTGCAGAGTGATAACAGTGTGTCTCTTGGCAAACCCTTACTTCCACTTACTAGAAATGGAAAAGGACGCTCGTCAAGTTTCCTGTGCATGGATGTAAACTGGGAACACAAGTGAGACGTGGTTTACCACTGTGGAATAATAAAGTGACGGCCCATAATGTGTTACAGCCAACATTAAGCAGACAAAGAGAAACATTAGCACTGTCTCGAGGTTTGTTTCGCATCCAGTATTCATTATCCTGCGGTTCCTCGGCCTTTGCTTCCCAACAACTCTTCAGTGAAATATAGAAACCCTTAAGGACATGTTAATGCCTCGCTGCGTCAAACCACCAGTGAGTAAATGTGTGTTTGTTGTACACAGGCTTTGTTAGAGTTCCCTGCTGCCTTGGTAAGAAGCAAAATAGACTGTATATAAAGGATGGCTGTGGCCACAGTGACGTCATCCACCAGTTGATGGATTATTGGTTTAAAGCCTTTAGAGCCGGCGCAGGTTGATGAGGTGCATTTCTTAATGTGAAAAGTTCATTTTGTTTTTAAATATAACTTTATTGAATAACTTCAGTTTTTTAAGCTTTGATGTCGTTCCGACCGCTCTGGGCACGGCTGCTGTTCAGTTGTAATTAACAAAGAAGAAACTATTTTTTTGTCTCTTGGTCCTCAGTGGTAGAGTGGGGTGATGTCACCGCGAGGGGACCCTTTACATTTGACATGGCAGTTTGATCTGTGGTGAAAGTAAAAGTATTTTTCAGATCAGCTCTGAAGTCTACGACCGTGCTGCCAGCCTCAGCTTCCAAAAACATCCTTGTTTATATTCACAACTAGGGATGGGTACCGGTATCCGGTGCCATGATGGCATGATGGATTCTGACATAAACGGTAGTAACCAGACCAAAAAGCAGCGCA